CATGGATCAGTGAACAAAGTTTTCGTAATCAAGTCCATATCTCAGAAACTCTAAGCAATAAATCTACTATGTTTGGTGTATGCAATAATTGTAAGGTGAACATGTCCAACTGGCAGGTGTCATATGACCTTGACCCCATTTTCATGGTTCAGTGGTAAAATTTAAGTTTTTGTGTTTTGGTCTAATACTGTATGCAATAGGTCAACTATCTTTGGTTTATGGAAATATTTTAAGATGTACATTTTAGTCTGGCAAGTTTAATTGATCTTGACCTCATTTTCACGGTACATGCTCAATGTTATTTTTTTTGTGTTTTTGTCCGTTTTTCTTAAACTATAAGCAATAGGTCAAGTATATTTGGTGTATGAAATTATTGTATGGTGTATATGTCTGTCTGACCTTGACCTCATTTTCATGGTTCATTGGTCAATATAAAGTTTTCATGGTTTTCTGTTTCTTGTATAATATAAGCAATAGGTCAACTATATTTGGTATATGGAATAGTTGTAGGGTGTACATGTATATCTGACCTTGACCTTATTTTCCTGGGCCATGTTAAGTTTATGCGATACTTGTAGTAAAACTTCAATTCTTAAAATGGGATATCAATATCCAGATTTCTTTACCGCATAGAGATTGGCATATTAGTCTCAATATATTGGACAGAACATAGATTGTGATCAATAATTAGTATACATAATTGGATGTGCCATGTTGCAGTTAACGGATACATAATTAATTCCACCAAAAGGTCCAGTAAATGATAAGACCATTTTATATTTCCAATGTGATTTTAACCGTGATCATTGAAACTTCACAAAATGTAAACTTTAAAAGTACTTTGTTAACAAATTTCACATTTTTTTTTTCTATGTAACAAATACTATACTGGTATATCATACATTATTATGGAAGTTTTTGGTATGCAGGATAGTTGAAGGCATACCTCTTTCATCGATTTTGAAAATATTTGAATGCCAATTAGTTTCCCTATGTCTAATTATAAAAGTTATAAAGTGATGTAAGCGAATATCTCAAGATTTCGACAAACAACAGAAAAACAAATTTTGGTGTTAAGGAATTAAGTTCAAATGATTCTAAATAATTTAAAGGCCTCGGTGACCAACTGGTCTAAGTAGTTCATTTATATTGTATTACTAGCCTGTCAACACTGAAGTTCTGACTTTCAACCCTTCACGTGGCAGGTGCGGTCTACCCCAATCTAGGATTGCCAAATGTCGGTGGTTCACTCCAGACACTCTGGGTTCACCCACCAATAAAAACGCAATATAGCCAGTAGTGCTGAAAGTGGCGTTTATCACAAACTTCATGTGTATCAATCAATTAATTATGATAACTAAACATTTTACGGATGGCATGATTATCTGTTTGACTGTCATGCAACATATTTGTCGCAAATGACTACGTGTTGTTCCATTTTCTTCGTTATAATAGCACAGAATACGACTTATTTGTATCCCGATTTTTACACAATGCATATCTGCTTTCCTGTTAACCCCGAATTTTGGTTAGTGTGGCTTAATCTATTATTTCTTCTGAGTAATGAATTGTGGATTGTAATCCTTTTTTTCAATTATGACGTTTTCTGCCCTTCTTCGATAAATTATTTTTATTTGTCACCTTAATGTTATCTCACTTTTTGTTAAACGAATAACTAAAAGATTACGTATACATTTTATTTCAAATCAAAAAGCCGCAAACCAGGGACGAATACAGATATTAAGCCCAACTGCATATAACATGTACTAGTAGGGTAGTTCATGCACTCTTACATTTCTTAATTCTTTTTCTTAAATCAGTTCTTATGAACTGCTCCAACAAAGGAATGAGGAAAAACGATTGAAATCGACACTACATATCGGATTGACGATACGACTTTTCCGTGTTTTGAATTACTAGGGACATGTTTTCGTGAACTTAGATCTTTAGATAACAGGATAATCGTCGAATCTATAAATTAACCGATTGCGCCCTATTCTAGATTTTAACATTTTGACTGATTCATGTTGCGTGTAATGCATGCATGGCAGAAGACGCGTGCCTGATCGACACAACGGTCCTGCTCATATTGGAATTATGCGATTCCCTCATATGATTAACTCGTTAACTGAATAACATTTCAAAATGACTTTCAGGTAACGTGTTTGAGTCAGCGGCCAGGTTTACACAGCATAACCTCTAGAAAAAAATTGTTAATCTTAATTCAAAATATTTTTCATTTTTTCTTTTTAATTTGAAATCTCTTGGAACCCTAGTATTGCATTTATGTGGATATCGTGTGCGTTAATATATTACAGTGAAAGCAATACAGTAGTTCCATCGGCTACGAAAGTAGTTTCAGCAACATGGTCTATCGAAGTGTCAATCCATGGAAAAACACTTAACGACACAATTTCATTTTTAAAGTGTTTGTAGATCATATAAGATTAACTTGATTTAGATCTTTTGACTAGATGTGCGAGATTTGAATATCAGTAAATTACTGTAATATTGACTATACTCTGTCTTTTCCTTTCTTTGAAAATAAAGGTATTCCATACATTATCAACGATTTCCAGCCAATATCATAAGCAAAAACCTGCTGTAATTCCTTATCATTTAAGACATCCATCCACTGTATTGCATTATTTGTTTTTAATGATTATGACATGCATTGAACTTTATTTATCGTTTTATATTTTAGTTTATTTGTGTAAGAAATATCAACCAAATAATAATATAATAAACACATTTCATCATTATTATTTGTATATGACTTTTGCACAATAATATCAACCAAGATAATCCCTCGAGCAGAGCATTCTTGATTATATATGTGTCTCGGATTAATACGATATGTGGTTTAAAAAAATATATCGTATACATTCGATTATATTCCAAAAACAGACGTTTTACCACTGTATAATTACATTACATGTATGTTTCATTATAATACGTTATTTTGATTGGCTAACAGCAATCTCGCGTCATTCTGAAATAAACCTTCATTTCAAAATGAAATGTAACATTCACGATGACACGAGCTTCCACAATTAAGTGGACAGGTAAAAAAAAAGAAAAACTTGATAGAAATCGTGTTTTCATGATCCTAGCAAAAAGATGTAATTATAAGTATTGAATGATTCTTTTAGTAATTTCATAGGGTTGTAAAAGCGTTGACCGTGCACACTTTTTTAGAATGAAGTGCTTCCGCGCTTCATACAAAATGTACTTCGGTCAACGCTTTTACACCCCAATAAATTTACAAAAAGTAACATTCAATTATTAAATGATTTATTTCAGATTTTGTGGTTTGATAAAGCCTATGCAACCGTCTCTAATATCAATATAATCACACAAATATTGTCAATGATTGTATTCAAGGTATACATTATTTGTATTTAATACAAAGTACGTAAAAATAATTTGTGCTTCATTTAATGTGGTATAACATTAGACAGAAAATAAGTAAATGCATAATAAATTCAATTGTCAGGATTATTTGATAGAGCCACAATGCTGCATGGTCAGCGGGTAACAGAATCAAAGAAGTAATCACTTCAGAAGAAAGGACTACTGGCCTGTGTTACAAGAAATATCATTGATACAGTCATGTTCTGTAAAGTTACTGCGTATAAAATATTGAATATTCGAACACTAACGGAATAGAAAGCCTTAGCTGTATTTGGCACAACCTTTGGAATTTTTGTTTTCAATGTATTTCGTATTCAATTTGGTCCTCTTGATGTTTCGATTCATTCGCAGCTGATTATTCTTATGCTGGCAACTTATAAGTCCTTTGTCTTTTATGAGGTGTTACAATCACTGGATAGATTCAACTGTTGGTAGATGATTCCAGTGCCAATAATGAAACTAACCTACGACTTGTTAATGTTTTACTCATGTGGAGTAGAATGATTACTAAACCCCCCTAAAGACAAAAGAAAAAAAAAACTAATGTTGAGAATATCCTTTTGGTATCTTCCGCCTCTGCAAAGTTCTTTAATTTCACTTTTAGATATATTGATGATGTATTGTCACTCAATAACCCACATTTCAATCACAGTAAGCTTGAGACTAAGTATACTTCCAAACTAGAAGGCCTGCTCATATCTTGTTCTTTTCCTCGATATTGAACAAATGGGACACTTCAAACTAGAAGTTATAACAAACGTGCTGATTTCTATTTGTTAACTTTACATTTCTCAGCAGTGACCCTTGCTTAATCGTATAGCGTTTACATATCTCTATTAATACGTTATGCTCTACTTAATCAATAGGGATGTGCTCTTTACACGAAAAACCCCAACAGAGTTATGACGAAGAGCGACTGAAATCGGCACTACATACTGTTTAAGGTTTACCATCACGACTTGATTGACCGATACGATATATCTGTCTTTCAACTCACTACTGCAAGTTTTCGTATTCATATATCTTTATATATCAGATTAGTCGTATAATCTGTAGTTTTACAGAATGTGTCCTCTTCCCGATGGTTACTTTATGACCGAGTGTGGATTTGCATGGCGGGTGATGCACGTCTGGCAGGAGACGGTAGAGTTCCCGGTCTCGCTCCTTTTGGAGTTCTTGTGATTTTTTCAGTTTTGTTTGTAACCTTGATATATCTTCTCAATCGATTTATGCGATTTAAACATCGGCAAACTGCTGTTGCCAAATTGATTACATTAGTAATGGTAATACGGCATAATTGAGTACAATTATGAATGATATTGTTTTTTTCTTTTTACAGAACCAGAATGGAACTTTCGTCATTCTCATTTAAACCGCCATAGACAAATACATTGTTATATGTAAGGACGTAAGGATACTTTTTTAAGTATAACTTCATCAACGTTTAAATGATGGATATATGCAATTCATTGTCTGATGAAAACTCTCACCTCTTTCAATTGAGAGATCATGATTCATCTGTTGAAGACTCTAACGTCTATGATTCATCTGATGATGATTCATCTGATGATTATTCATTTGATGATGATTCATCTGATGATGATTCATCTGATGATGATTCATCTGGTGATGAGTATGTTACCGCCAATTACGATTTGTCTTCTAGTGAATACACAAAAGATCTAACATACCCAGTTAGAGAAAATAAAGAGGAGAATATCATTGACATAGAATTGTACATAAAAACAGATTTTCTGCGAAATTAAAATTACACTCCGTAAGTTCAATAAGAGAAAGTGTTCACCAATGTAAGAAAGTTCTTGCTGCTATAATTGACGTAGATTTTAAAGTTATTCTCAGTTCATTTAACCATGATTCTAATGAATTTTCTTCTCCCAGATTATTCGCCGCGATGTGTCTTCATCATGTGTCATCTCTTTCATACACAGAAAAGTTAAACATAAGTAACATACTAAACAATTTCCCAGAATACATTAGAAGGAACACCACCAAGACTATGAATGACAACTATCTCGATCTTTTCTTTCGGAATTTAGATCCAAAATGTTGTTATGACCGTATAAGTCGTATCTGGCATTTTTACTTAGATATACAAAATGCGTTGAAATACAGTTTATGCAAAAAACTAATGGAATCTGAAGGCCCTAGAAATGAGCAGTTTCTTTGTGCTAATATAAAAAATCTAGCCTATCTGTGGAAGACAGATCACACCAACAGAAAGGACTCATCACTACTATTGTCATTACTTCATTATGCTGTCACTTCTGACCATATAGAGGATGTGAAGTTTATCAAGTCAATCATAGCAACACATATGGACTGTCAAGAGTTAGTTGAAGTAGTCACGAGTTACATAGAAAACTGTAATACAGCGAAACTACTCTCCTTGTCAAAGTTAATAGATACTTTGGACGACATTTTAAAAGCTGATCCTCAACGGAAATTATGGTTATTGCGTAAACGTTTGGGTGTACTGTTAGAAAAGAAACACTTCGAAGAGTTCAAAGCAACGATCATTCATCATAGACAGGTTTTTCTGTCAGATACTTGCGGTTTAAAAAAATTATGTTGGACAAAAGGATCAGCGATATACAAACATGCTCATTTTACAGTGTTACTGTATATTTTATATTTTTCTTTAACAACAAATCAATATGAAAGCAAAGCACACGCTTTATCAAAAATGTTAGATATCGCAATTAATACTACATATGATATGAAAGGTTTAGATTTTTTCTTTTCGCTCTTAACACAATTACATGATGAGAATACTCAATACACCTTAATATTTACAGAAGTCTTACTACAGATATGGGGGGACAACATTGATTTGAAGTTGGTGGTGATACAAGCCTACGGTGCATATTTGTGGAAATCAAAATGTTTTGAATTGCATAGAAAATTTTTGCGGTATCATTATCAGTATCTTTTATTTACAGCATTTTTAAGTCGCATTGAACTTGCTACAAGTGCAGAATGGGAAAATGTCATGTTTATTTTACATCATATTACGAATTTTAATGAAATAACAAGCTTAAATCTCAAAATGAACAAAAAAAAAATTCCGTTCGTCATTCATAAAATATGTATCACTGTGTGATGAAAGCCAGATACAATGTGTGCCAGGTACCATAGAAAAAGTAGGAATCATATGGGAATTTGACCAAATTTTGATGGTCCATGCCATTCTAATTTACGGAACAGAGCTTATAAAAAGGGGCTGTTTTGAACGGTACAAATGGTTGGTAATACGCCATCAGAGTTTATTGATATCTAAATTAACTACACATTATAATCTTAGAGAGATAAAAAAGATATTCTCAGATCAGATTTTTTTTCTGACCCTTTCAAACCTTCTGCAACATTATACAATATTCGATCAATGTACAAAAATGAAGAGATTGAGATCAGCGTTTTTATGTTATTCTCGATTTGGTAGAGTATTTAAATTCAGTGATTAAATTTGCACCTGCGACAAGGAACAGTTGCTCAGTACATCATTGTCATTACGGTACCTTTGTCAAGGAATCCCTAATTTATGTGTAAAATTTTGTTGTTTAGTTATATTCTGGAAGAAAATATCGGAATCAGGCTGCACAGATCAATACAAAGAATTCATTGTTGATAACAAGCATTTAATTTTATCAATGAAAGATGCAGCATTGGACTTACAATTTAATTATGAAACCGAATACTGTGTTTTACTTTTCCACCTTCTTCGTGAATTCATACTGTCAAATAACAACAGGGACATGAATCTGACATTAAGTGCAATTAACGGTTTAAAACACAATAGATTAAATGAGTTTGGAGATTTTCAGAATTTAAAGCCTAACGAAGTAGATGAGGAAGAAAAAAGAATTTTTAGATATAGTAATTGGAGATTATACAGAATAGACGAGGTGCTAAATGGTAATCTAAAATTACATATATACGTACGAGCCGTAATTGACACGTGCAAGTTTAGATTTTCAGATTCTAAAGTTTATGTATTCAAAATATTTACTTATTATCTTCAGAATCTAACCACTGTTCAACAAGAAAAAGGACTTATTGAACTTATTGCTAGTGTAGGTGATCTACTCGAAAAAAAGAGATATCGCGCCAATATACACTGCGAAATTTTATCATTGATTTACGACGTGGTTCACAGCTTTTTAGTTCTTAAACATGAAGTTGATCAAACAAAGTTGGCCACGTTTTTACTTCATTTAAACCACAAATGTCAATCAGATTTAGTAAACAAAGTAACTGTTGAAGTAGGAAAGATATTACAGTGGAAAACATTAGCCCCTCAAAGCATTACTATTGAAGAGAAAACGGTTATTTACAAATGTTTTTGTATAGTGAGACAAACAAAGAAAACCCACCGACTGAAGGAAATCAATCTTGAAGAGTATACAAGCTACTTTGATTTTATAGAAATGATAGACCAAGAGGAGCAACGACAGCGGATAATCAAACAGACAATACTTTTGTTGGTTTTACTGCTTCTTCTAACAAGCATAACGTCAGATGGTCATCACAAGTCAGCAAAACTTAAGAAGTATTTGTCACTGAAGTATAAATATGACGATCTTGTACTCTATCTTTTATGGTGTTCTGGTGATGTTGAAATAAATCCCGGACCTACTTTTTCTAAAATACGATCAATGCACACTTCAGAGAAAGAGAGAAAATGGACCTGTGAAATGTGTTCAGTGTTAGTCAAGCTTCTAAAGGAGTTACCTGAAACATCAAAACCAAAATGCTTATGGAAAGAAAAACCCACTTGTTGGCCTGCATATGAACCATTTTTTGATCCATACAACAAATCAAAAGTTCAGAATGATGATTTATTATCCAATGAAAGACTTTTAAAATGTCTAATGAAATGTTGCGACGAAAATAAAATTTGTATTCCGGAATCATACCGTTATGAAATTAATTTACTTACAACTAATAACAAAACCCTTCTATTTGAAACATATATATTTCGGAAAGAAAAACACAATCTTTGCGAGGCTCTTTCGAATCTGTTGACGTGCAAAGACCGTGGAAAAATCAATCAAGACGCGAAGAACTGTGGCATAACAATTAACTTTGACATAAAGCCATCATCACAAAATTTTAAAAAGACAAAGAGAAAGGGAGAAATTATTACCAATACGAGACGGGATTTAGCAGTTATATTATGTAAGATTATAAAAGGGCTAAATATAACTGAAAAATGTGATGGAATTTGGAAAACACCTCCTTCAAAATGGCCATCAGATGAACCGTTCTACAGTCCACATAATGAAAAGAAGAGACAAGGGGTGTGTCCAGATAATGAACTTGTTGATAACCTTATCAAATACTGTGAATCAAACTCAGTAGTGGTACCATCACAATACCAGGGCATGGTTACCGCTTGGAATGAAGGGCATATGGATGTGTTGATTACAACTCATACTATTTATGCAAATATTTCAAAGTTAGAACATTCTTTAAAGTATCTTCAGATTGAGGGAATTTTGTCAAAGCCCGATATTTTAGATTTTCTTAAGAAAGAAGGATTAACTTTGGATACTGATACATGGAAACTGGATGACAAGAAGACAGATGGAAATCAAATTGCAAGCAGAGAACTTTCCCAAAAATTGGTAGTAAATCCAATCACATCAGAGGACACTGCAATCAAGAAATTTAGTTCATGCGATAAACGCGATACACAGTTTCAGAAGCTAAGTATATCCCAAAAGACAACAGAAGATTCCCGAAATAAACTGATTTCATCTACTGACAAAACAACAAATAAAACTGTTGATGCTGAATCCTTTTCTCTAGAGACAACTTCCATGAGAAAACACCAACCAAAGCTCAGTGGATCTGAGGAACATAATAGTCAGGTATATTAATATTAATCATGAACAATACAAAATTAACAGGGTAAAGTCTCTTTTATATTCCTCCGAATAATAAGTAAACTGGTAAAAGTTATCTAGCTGCTCTGATGATATTTAGGAAAAAGTACTTAAGATTTTAGTTTAAATGTTACAGTCACTGTGGTATTTTTATTTTGACTAAGAGCAAAGATTTTACTTAAGAAACAAGAAGTGGCTAATAAAGCGTTGGTGATGACATTTATTTTCAAATAGCATGGATACTGTAAAGGATTTTAATCATAGAGAAATACCAAATTCCTGAATTTGTAAATGAAATGTTCATATAATTTGGCATATTACTTAAATATTACACTATGCAATATTACGTATGGCAAACAAAAATGGTAGATAGTTATGATTATGTTTTGCAGTGAATATATTTTAACTTTCAGTAAAATACTTTAAGTGACTCATATGTGTAACTTGTCTTATTTTAGAAGAGAAAGTTAAATACAGTCAAGTTCGATCGAGAAGAACATGAAATAACGAAGAAACAAAAAATGAACAGCAGTTTATATGAGGTATTAGTTTCTTCATTTCAGGCTTTCTAAGGCTTCTAAGACCAAACATCTTTAACTATTCAAATGTTATATAAATATACAAACACATGTGACATCAACACCATCCTTCGTCATCATTATTGCTTAAGTAAGTGGGACGTGTATACTGTTAACACTATGTTAAAACTAATTTTTCCCTTGTCACATAGGAATTCAGTTGTAATGTAGTCTCAAAAACGGTGTCTAGTTGCAATTGCAAAAGTCTAATCAAGGTCCTCAATAGAATTTTTTACTAAACTAGATCTTTGATTGTTTTTGTTTAATGTATTTATAACTTTTATAGGATTAGTGCGATTTATGCATACGAGGTGTGAATTATGACTGACTATTGTGATCAACTGATGATATTTGTAAACGTTTTTGTATTCCAAATTTAACTGACCAAAACACTGGCGAAAACGTTGCCTTGATATAATTCTTCCCTTTACTGTCACTTGACAAAGTTATGATGACAAACTGCGAAATGGATTTTTGTATGAAATCAGTAGATTAAATGTATGTGGTTTAAAATCCCTTATAATGTAGATAGTTGACGAAAGACACTCAAAATCATTTCGGTCAAAAGCAATTGGTTAAAACATCATTCAAAAAGATGTGCAGGAACATATTTGACTTTATTTCAAAACGATGGATAGTCTTAACGTAAAAAAAGGGAATGATAAAATAAAGTAAATAGAAAACTAAGACACAAGTAAGTATAGGTAGTATATGAAGTTGTAACACCATTTTTTGTCAAAAATGGCTGATAAATGTTGGAAAACAAAACATGATTTTTCGCAATTTCCTTTTCATCGTTATACCTCTGCAGACCAACAACATGTGTACAATCTCGGGAGTAATAACAATGGTGATGCTTGCATCAAAAGGAATCGTTCGAAATATAGGCAAAATCAAATACTGTTAGAATCTAAAATGAAAAAAAAAAAATTGCTTGGAGATCAAAATCAAAATAATGAGTCCAGATATACACAAATCAAGTTTAAACCTCCCTGGGTATTTTATTTGCTGATTTATTAAATAAAAATGCAATATCTATAGTCGAAAATACGTGGTATGGCAAATACAAATCCAATGCTTCTTTATTTTATTGTTGCAGATATATGAACCATTAACACAGGAAGAAGAGGATAAACTAAAACAACAGCTAGAAGAACCCGTTCCTCCACTGACTGAGGAATCTAAGAACTGTTGTCCTGCAGACTTTCATAACATATTAAACAGTTTGTGGAATTGTAAGGACCTTGAAAGTTATATAACCGTTGAAGAATATTGAAGTTGAATAGACAGATGCAAAATGAAAATAACAATAGAATATTTGGCAACCAAACGCTTTTCTGGATTTGCCATTACCAGGACGTTCAACACCAAAACTTTGAATGCCGGGGATGTATAAATACCTAAGGATCAATAGGACTTCAACAAAACGACCAATGACTATTTAAGACCGACTTTTCCAGTTTGCATGGAAAGGGGGCTACTCTGTCAATCAGCAGCGGTTTATCCACGCATCACTCGCAAGGCGAAATCATTTTTTGTTTCAAAATGTCATGAAAGGAATAGGACACAATCTGTTGTAACTTACATATTAGAGTTATATGATGTATAAGAAATTGAGAAATTACACATGGCTTTTGTCTGTTTAGTTTCTATTTTTATGATGACTTTAATTACGGTTTGGCTATTTGATATGCTTATTTACTTTTTGATAATTTGTACATTTTTCTAAAGTCTTCCCTTTATTCCTATCAGAAGACTTTTTACTTTATTATAAGAACATTTTAATACCCTTACCTTTTCACGAATGTGACTTACCAAATTTAACTATTTACCGGATTTGTAATAACATAAGCAACACGACGGGTGCCACATGTGGAGCAGGATCTGCTTACCCTTCCGGAGCACCTGAGATCACCCCCAGTTTTTGGTGGGGTTCGTGTTGCTTAGTCTTTAGTTTTCTATGTTGTGTCATCTGTACTATTATTTGTCTGTTTGTCTTTTTATTTTTGGCCATGGCTTTGTCAGTTTGTTTTCGATCTATGAGTTTGACTGTCCCTCTGGTATCTTTCGTCCCTCTTTTCAAAGACATTTTGTTTCTGTACATTTTTATATATTAGAAGCTTGCAAACATATAATGATATCAATGTTCAAGATTATGCAAAAAATTACATCTGCTCAGTGGTCTGTTGATTGGTATATTCCCCAGTAAATTCCAACTAGAGATTTCAAAAGTTTCAATGCTATTTTATTATTTAACTTAAAGAAAGTAGAAATAGGAGACAAGATCTAATCTTCTTGAAGACTGTTAGCTCGTGAGCTATCATGTTAAATCTGTAGCTAAGTGTGTCGAGCTTGTTACCTGCTATCAAGTGTGTTTGTAATTATATAATCTGTTCATCTCAATTAATTTTGATTTGGATTAGTTTGATTGTTTGACGTAATTTAATAGTTGTAAGATGTTTTTTTTATTGAACTATGTTTTATTAATGATTTATTATTGCTGTTTTTTTATGTTGATGGGCGCACCATGCGAAAAACTGGGATAAGTCCCATCTGTACAAATGTATATAGTTGTATGCACTTTTTTATTCATTAAACTAAAACTGGCTATATTATATAAATAACACATAGCTGAGAGGGTGATAGAGCAGATTGTTACCCCGAGAAAACATTGTCAACTGAGGCGAAGCCTTCATTTTTATCAATGTAGGATACGTATGGAAAGGGAGGGGGGGGGGGGGGGGGGGCTACTCTGTCAATCAGCAGCGGTTTATCCACGCATCACTCGCAAGGCGAAATCTTTTTTTGTTTCAAAATGTCATGAAAGGAATAGGACACAATCTGTTATAACTTACATATTAGAGTTATATGATGTATAAGTAATTGAGAAATTACACATGGCTTTTGTCTGTTTAGTTTCTATTTTAATGATGACTTTAATTACGGTTTGGCTATTTGATATGCTTATTTACTTTTTGATAATTTGTACATTTTTCTCAAGTCTTCCCTTTATTCCTATCTGAAGACTTTTTACTTTATTATAAGAACATTTCAAAGATATTTTTTTTCTGTACATTTTTATATATTAGAAGCTTGCACACATATAATGATATCAATGTTCAAGATTATGCAAAAAAATATATCTGCTCAGTGGTCTGTTGATTGGTATATTCCCCAGTAAATTCCAACTAGAGATTTCAAAAGTTTCAATGCTATTTTATTATTTAACGTAAAGAAAGTAGAAAAAGGAGACAAGATCTAATCTTCTTGAAGACTGTTAGCTCGTGAGCTATCATGTTAAATCTGTAGCTAAGTGTGTCGAGCTTGTTACCTGCTATCAAGTGTGTTTGTAATTATATAATCTATTCATCTCAATTAATTTTGATTTGAATTAGTTTGATTGTTTGACGTAATTTAATAGTTGTAAGATGTTTTTTTTATTGAACTATGTTTTATTAATGATTTATTATTGCTGTTTTTTTTATGTTGATGGGCGCACCATGCGAAAAACTGGGATAAGTCCCATCTGTACAAATGTATATAGTTGTATGCACTTTTTTATTCATTAAACTAAAACTGGCTATATTATATAAATAACACATAGCTGAGAGGGTGATAGAGCAGATTGTTACCCCGAGAAAACATTGTCAACTGAGGCGAAGCCTTCATTTTTATCAATGTAGGATACGTATGGAAAGGGAGGGGGGCTACTCTGTCAATCAGCAGCGGTTTATCCACGCATCACTCGCAAGGCGAAATCATTTTTTGTTTCAAAATGTCATGAAAGGAATAGGACACAATCTGTTGTAACTTACATATTAGAGTTATATGATGTATAAGAAATTGAGAAATTACACATGGCTTTTGTCTGTTTAATGTTTATTTTTATGATGACTTTAATTACGGTTTGGCTATTTGATATGCTTATTTACCTTTTTAATTTGTACATTTTTCTCAAGTCTTCCCTTTATTCCTATCTGAAGACTTTTTACTTTATTTTAAGAACATTTCAAAGATATTTTTTTTCTGTACATTTTTATATATTAGAAGCTTGCACACACATAATGATATCAATGTTCAAGATTATGCAAAAAAATATATCTGCTCAGTGGTCTGTTGATTGGTATATTCCCCAGTAAATTCCAACTAGAGATTTCAAAAGTTTCAATGCTATTTTATTATTTAACTTACAGAAAGTAGAAATAGGAGACAAGAATCTAATCTTCTTGAAGACTGTTAGCTCGTGAGCTATCATGTTACATCTGTAGCTAAGTGTGTCGAGCTTGTTACCTGCTATCAAGTGTGTTTGTCATTATATAATCCATTCATCTCAATTCATTTTGATTTGGATTAGTTTGATTGTTTGACGTAATTTAATAGTTGTAAGATGTTTTTTTTATTGAACTATGTGTTATTAATGACTTATTATTGCTGTATTTTTATGTTGATGAGCGCACCATGCGAAACACTGGGATAAGTCCCATCTGTACAAATGTATATAGTTGTATGCACTTTTTTATCATTAAACTAAAACTGGCTATATTATATAAATAACACATAGCTGAGAGGGTGATAGAGCAGATTGTTACCCCGAAAAAACATTGTCAACTGAGGCGAAGCCAAGGTTGACAATGTCTTTTCGAGGGGGAACAATCTGCTCTATCACCCTCTCAGATATGTGTTATTTAATTTATTATACTGAATGTTCTGTTATTACTGTCGATTAAATTTCAAATTCAAAGTAATAAACTATGACGTCTTGTACATAAAAACCATCCGTATTTAATAAAGCGCACACTTGATCAAGCGTCTCCATGAAGGGTAATAGAGTATTTGCCATAGGATAGAGTCGTATTTAATAAAGCGTACACTGGATCAAGCGTCTCCGTGAATGGTAATAGAGTATTTACCATAAAATAGAGTAAATTAACACCCTCGTGTTGATTAATCCAATCAAAATATTGCATTTTTACGTGAAGTATAATAAATGATAATGTCGCATTACTAATAAAAAATAAGTTGATAAGTTTTTCATTTCACTTCCCTTCAATAAGTCATATTTATATATATTAATTTTTTTAATGAGTGATAAAGAACAGACTTTAAACATATTATTTTCGTATTTTAGTATTCAATTAATCCTGAAATTAACAAACAATTCCGGAAATACAGATTTGTATGAATGAAAAATTTAGATTGGTAAAGAGATATGTTCATAAAGAGTGAAGATTTGAATAAATGACAAAGTTAGGATTGCAAAGATATATGTTCACAGATTGTGAAGATTTGTATGAATGACAAAGTAAGGAAGGTAAAGAGTTAGATTTGAATAAATGACAAAATTAGGATTGTAAAGAGATATGTTCACAGATTGTGAAGATTTGTATGAATGACAAAGTTAGGAAGGTAAGGAGATATGTTCACATAAAATGAATATTTGTATGAATGTCAAAGTTAAGATTGTAAAGAGATATGTTCACATAAAGTGAAGATTTGTATGAATGACAAAGTTAGGATTGTAAAGAGATATGTTCACATTTAGTGAAAAGGTGTACGAATGACAAATTCAGATATGTTTGTTTATATTAGGTTATGATCTGTATATTTTTTTAATTTGTATATATGATATCAAGGAAATTTATTTCATTCTTAAATGTAATAATTGTAACTGTGACAACCAGTGGAAAAATCATAGCCGTTTTTAAAGTAACTTGACAAATAAATATTTCTTTAATGTAGTCATAAGGATTTGAATCACACTGCTTCTAAATAAACTGATCATAGCTTCCAGAATTAGCATTTTGTACGCCAGTTGAGCTTTTTGTCTACGAATGACTCATCAGTAACGCGAGAATAAAAAAAAAGACCCAATAAAGTTCGAAATTGAGGAGCATTAACCGAAAATTTTGAAAGGTTTTGCCAAATACAGCTATGGTAATCTATTCCTAGGGTATAGGGTAACATCCCGTAATAGTGTGTACGGTGAAAAGGCGAAAGATCCCAAAGGGATATTCAAAGTCATAAGTCGTTAGAAAACTTACAATGCCATTGCAAAATCCGAAAAGACAAACACAAGTATACAAAACACAACATAGAAAACTTATGACTGAACAAGACGAACCCCACCAAAAACCGGGGTCGATTGCAGGTACCAAAAAGGGTTAGCAGATCCTGGTTTACATGTGGCACCAGTTGTATTGCAAATGTAAGTACAAACCCGGTGATGAATGTAATGTAGTTTAATATAATCGACAATTTTGTGCATCATTGGTGACAATATATGCCCAATCTTTCAAATTTGACTATAGAGAGAAAGAGGGCCACGATCTCCATATACGTCGACTCATATTCGTATCACACCATGGTTAAATTGTTCAGGGGAGTGAAGATTAACACTCTCTAGATCATAAAACAGTTAAGCCCTAACTGGTTCCAATTGAGAACCGGCCACTCATGATAGACATGAGATGGTCTCAACAGAATTTCCTGAGGCAAAACAGGAAAGTAAAACCTAATATGATCCGACGTAGAATATACAAATAAGATTGTTACCCAATTATCTTGCCAGATCCCCATGTGAGTGAGTCTATACACACATGAAACGGCCAAGTAAAGTACGAAGCTGAAGAGCATTGAGAATCTACAAAATCGAAAGGTGTTGCCAATCATAGCTAAGGTAATCTATTCCTATATATTCCTTATATGTAAAATTCCAGCTAGTTAATTTATCGGCTTATTGTTTTCCTTAAGAGCATTTAAATGGCATATTGATTCCGGCGCTCCTTGTCGGCCTGAAAAAAAAACCCAAAAGAGCAGCGCGAAAAGAAATAGATTGAGTTGCCAGAGAGGCGCGAGAGTTTTTGAAACTTCCAATAAATCTACAAGGGTGGCCAGATCAATGCAAGGGTAAAGTGTCACGTGATGTTAGTTGGAAAAACCACAAAACGGATTCGAATGCAATTTACATTAAGGGCATACGATACAGTTACAGGGGAGGTAATGACGTTGCTAACGTAAAATATTATTTTCGCGACGTCAAACTGTCTGGAAAAGCATTTTTCGACTGATTTTTATCATTCAAACTGATTTAACTTTTAAACGAGTTCATGGATACCTCTTTATTAAAATGACATTCGGTTTGATTACGTATGAACATTTTTTGTACCAATTTTCTTGAAAAAGTCAATAATGCAATTTTTAAAATTTGATAAATATACAGCAAAAAATGACGTTTTTTTCTACATTCATGAACATTTAATAAAGGAGTAGGGGCATTTAGGCCTGGTTTTGGCCCAAGAAAATAAAATGTTTGACAACTATTTCAAATTGGCACATAATGTTTGGAAACGCATAGGGTCATGAAATATAAATGAAAAATATAAAGACTTTTATCTGATGACGTCACAATTACGTCATAATCTGTATCGTTTTCACAAAAACAATGAAAAATACAGAATTTATGCAGTTTTCTGTCGTTATTTCCATTGTGGAAGCATCGTGCGCAGCCAAGAAACAACAAAATAATTTAAGAGAAGCTTTGTTATAACTATTGACGTAATTTCACCAAATATAAAGTTGTTTCGTGGGTGCGCACATACTTTTCCAATCTAAACTTTACTTAAAATTTGATGAAAAACAAGGAAAATCAAGAAATTTTACAAAACATGCAAATTTTGTCATAGTTTGTGGCCATGGTAACTCGTTCAATGTGAAATATATTTTTTTATTTTCTGAATACCTTGTACCTTAGTCTAGTTTGGACAAATATAAGAATATGTATGATAACTTTTAAATTTGCAGTAATATTTGGGCCAAATAAGGGCCTTATTGCCCCTACTCCTTTAAGTAATTCTAAACAAAAAGTTTCACAAATTTATAAAATACTTAAAAAAAAGGGAAAGTATTAATAATTTAACAAAAACCGGCTTGTGTTTATCTTTCAAAACAAAAAAAATATGCATTTCTGTCGGAAGGAAAAATACGTCCACAAATCCGAATTTTGAGCAAATATCTGAAATTTCGACCTCATTTTACTCAAAAAGTAGCATATGAAGGTACATTTTTATAACATATTTGATTTAAGCAGGTACAAAATAGCCTATTTGCAAATTTTTATCAACATTTCATTATGGGATCAAAACTGTATCGTATGGCCTTAACGGATAATATATAATATATAAGAATATATCAAATCTCTATAATATCAAATTGGTTTATCTTATAAAAAAGTAAACTAACAAAAATACCGAACTTCAAGGAAAGTTCAAAATGGAATGTCCTTTATCAAATGGCAAAATCAAACGCTCATACCCATCGAATGAATGGAAAACAACCGTCATATTCCTGACTTGGTACAGGCATTTCCTTATGAAGGAAATGGTAAATATAAAATAAATGATATAAATCGTATAAATCAAATAATCAAATTGTAGATAAATTATAAAAAAAAAAAAAAAAAAAAAAGTAATGTCGAAAATAGCAGCCACAGATCACTAGCAAGGACGATAATTGAACTGATTTTAGCAGAATACCGTAATTGATTTAATAGACAAGTATGTGCACCATTGTCGACAATGGAAGATCAAGTTCCTCACTATGAAAAACGTCGACTCACATTATTCATATCATCCCACGGTTAAGTTGTTCAGGAAAGTGAAGATTAACAATTTCTAGTTCATGAAACAAACATGAGATGCTATCAACAGAGCTTCCTGCGATAAGGCAGGAAAGTTAATTTGATCCGACATAGAATACAGGAAAAGTAACCTTGCCAAATCACCCATGTGAGTCTATACACAGCCACGAGAAAGACCTGCCCCCAACTTTGGAAGTCAAGGATTAATACTTAAACCTCGGGGAAAGAGCAAATTTTGTCAGATTATAACTGTAGACACAACAGATTCATATCAATGTTTTGAATTAAATCATGATCAATGGCTTTCATTTTACTCAAATAGTAGGAACCACTTCAATGATTATCATGACCGGAGTAGAAAACGAACAGTTGAATGTGAATCTGTGGTATTGGGGTCGTTCCATAACATAACCCTTTTTCAAAACCAGCGTATGTTGACCCCTCTGCCAAGATATGGGCCCAATACCTTGATTTTGCGTTTATCTGACCCCGGTAAACCATTGATGATCAGAAGAACCTACTTCCTTTGAATCTAAAACGAGTAACATAAATTATCATATAAAACGAAAGAAGTGTGTTCGAAACCTTTCATAGACGAAAGGCTTAAATACGAATAACGCGTGAAAATGAAACGGATGACCATCGACCGCATTGATTGATAATCTTGTCTTTAACTCCACGTTTTGCAATATCTGTAGCTCTTCCTATTCTCAAATAGTGAAAAGTAATAGAAAATGGAATATCACAAAAGCTCAAACATTTTTGCTGGAGAGAACAAAACTGATATTTTGTTAAGGCATAGCCTTTAAATTGTGTAAATAGTTTATTTGACACATGCACGACCCAGAAGCGATCATGCAAGTAAAATAGTTATTGTAATGTAGTTGAATTGGAGAAATGACCGTGTCAGATTGTCTCTGAATGGTCAGTTTTACAAAATTATACTTTTACTCGGTTTTAGAACTGCATATTTTGACATGCAAGTCGGTTTGACTATTCCTCTCAGAAAAAGTCACATCTTCAGGATTCAAAGAGTGTCTGCACTCATCAGTTCGACTGTTAATAGCTATCTTGCTTACACGTAACATTGCAAAATAGGCAAGAGAAAAAGCAGAAATTGCATTACATCGTGCGTAAAATGCAAATTAAACGGTTTAATGTTAAATCTATTTTGGGGGATTTCTCTTACGTTAGCCTTCTAACATTTTGCAAATAATGAAAGATTACGTATTGTCTATCATATTTAGAATCGTTTGTGCATGGGTCAGCCCAAAAATGTAAGTAGAAGCCGTAGACGCGGACAACCATTTGCATGCATGACAGATATGCTATGAATTGGTTAATTTCATCGATAGGAAAATAATCATAAGTATTACCAAACATTTTGAAGGATTCTACTGCTGTAGAGACCTCGACAATTTAAATAAATTGTCTGCTCCGTCTTCTTAACGTTCCAGAGATGGATCGGAATCACATATGGGCTTGAAACTGCCGTGATGCATAGTTTCCGGAACTCTAGAAAATCACAGCGAGAAAGGATTGTCAGCTAGAGGATTCAAATTACCTGGGATATGTTTGGCTTAATATGTTTAATTCCAAGCATGTCAATAAAGCTTTCTAACCAGAGGATTGGACGATTATTAATTATGGAAACCACGCCTTGATTCTAACTGAAATAAAATATTCTTGTTTCATTAATAGAATTCCCAAATATTCAACGGTATAAGTTTCGGATAAAATTCCAGAAAGTACCCAATTGAGAGGTCAACACGCCTGTGCTTATTTCAAAGTGAATTTCATAAACTTTTTCGCTACCACCTGCAATGTCGGTGAACAGTTTGAGATCTGAATTAGAAGCACAGAACGTGTCAAAAATAACAACCGTAGTATTTCTTCAGAAAAAAAAATCAGATCTTAATTCTTCTTTTAAATCTCATGTTCCTGGTTCTTTAATAGGACATGTGCAAATTGCATGTGTCATCAATCAATCGACGACAAAAGAATCAACCAGGGATATGCGCATTAGGATTGCGATACACAAAGGGGTATTTTGATTATTTCAGCAAGATAAAATTCTGATTTTTGTTCTACCAGTTTGTCGTTATATAGTCTCATTATCATGCTACATGTGTCCTAGTCTATACCTAGGAATATCAAC